GCCTGAGAGCCACTGACTGAGGGATGGGATGTCTGACAAATCTCACTCCAAAGGGGGCAGGGACAGGCAGAGACCTGTGACTGCCCAGGTGCCACAGCAGGGCACAGAGACCCTCCCTCTAATCGGGAGCATCTGCAGGTGGCTGACACATAGCTCTGGACTCTGGGGCCTCCGGCTCCTGTTCTGCAAAATGGGGCAACAGCATCTCCTTTAGGCGAGTTGGGGTGAGTAAGGAGCTTCACCGTCAAGGAGGGCCCAGAAAGGCCTCCGCCCACTCGGCTTTGTGGAGTATCTGCAACTGGGCTGCTGGAGCCACCTGGGAGGAAAGTGGAGAGGGAAGGAGAGAGGCAAGAGGAGATCCAGGGTCTGCAGCCTGTCCTTACCTTTCCGGAATCGGGGATGGCACAGGCCCCTCCACGCCCCACACAAGCAGCCAGTCCTGCATCATCCCTCCCCAACCTGGCCAGAAGCACAGGAACAAGTGGCCTCGGGAGCATTTCTAGGGCTCTGCCCAAGCTCCGAGCCATCCTGATCCATTATTCCAGAATTCCCCCATGGGCCCTAGAGACCCTGCAGGGCTAGGCCCTCCATGCCAGGACAAAGAGCAAGACACAGCCTGGCATCTCGGGCGAGGCCTGCCATTGGCCAGGTAGGGAGGAGCAGGCCTGGCTCCTCCAGTGTGGCTGTGGCTGCTCAGGACTCTGAGGCCAGGGCTTCTCTGGCTTCCGCCCTGGTGTCCTCCAAGGCAGGGACTCCTGGTCTCTGTGTGAAGAAGCAGCTAGCCTGGGCCTCTTCCATCACCCACCTGGGTGCCTAGCAGGGTGAAATGAAGCTTTCTTGAACAACCTTTAGAGGCCACCAGGAGTCACTGCCCCTCCTGTGATGGTCCAGGGGACTGAGGAGGAGGGGCCTGCACACAGCAAGGTCTATGGCTGGGGGCTGAAGCATTCAGATATGGGTGGACGGAAGGGGCCGAGGTCCTGCCACGAGGACGTGGGACCCACTTGTATATGTGGAGAGGGAATAGTCGTCGCCATAAGCTCTCTGTCTACAGGATTCAGCTCCTGTGCTCCCCACCTCTATCCCCCAGGACAAGCCTCCTGAGGTCCTCCAAGGGGCCAGGCATTCTCTCTGGTAATGCAGGAAAGGGGGCAGTAGATGGGCCATCTCGTGAAAGCCCCGAAGCTGAGACCGCTCTTAAGGAGGCATTTAAAGGCAGAGTACAGACTGGGGGCTCTAGACACTCAGCTTCAGGGACTCTGATTGGAACCTGTATCCCGGGACATTCTGACACATGTCCCCTCCACCCAGGGAAGTGTGAAGAGGGGAGACAAGGAGGGCCTGGGCAGTGCAAGAGCCCAGCAGGGGAGGCCAGGGTGGGCCCAGAGGCTGTGTCAGGGCTGCTTGCGTCTCCATCCAAAACACAGCAGTGCACCCCTGACACTCCTGTGCACACACATGTGCACACGTGCAGTTGCACATGTCTTCTACATGTGTGCAGGTGCACCTGTGTTTGGTGCCCACACATGCACACACATGTGCATGCATATACCCACATACACCCCCATACATGCACAAAGTGTATGACAGGGAGATTTCAAGCACCTAAGGTAGTTGCTGGTCAGCTGGTTACTGACACAGATTGTTATCCCAGAGGCTTCTTGGGGAGACATACTCCAAGCCCTGGAAGTTGAGGTAAGGCCAACACCCTCATGTCTACACCTGGACCCCAGGAGAGGCCGGGGTGGCAAAGCCCACGTCATGGCTGTGGCAGCTCCTGGCATCCCTTGCCACCTGTCCCGGGCTGTAGCTGGGAAAGTAAGAGACAAAGGCAGAGAGGAAGAGACAGACAGAGACAGAGTGAGGCGGAGAGACCAACACCTCGAGCCACACTACACAGTGCTGTGGGAACAGTGGCAGGCGTCAGGGGCCTCAGCCAGCCCAGCCTCTCCCTCTCTGTGACAGAGGCAGGCAGCCAGGCGGCCTCGGCAGGCTGAGGGGGTGCTAACCACAGGTTTGCTTGGTGCATCCTTTCCAGCGGTTTCCTGCAGCAAATCAGCAGGGGGTGGGGAAGGTGAGGGGGCCGTGAGAGGCTTTGGGTCTCCCACATGGGGGTTCTGGGACCACTCTCTGGAGGACAGAAGAGCCTTCCCCATGATAGCCAGCCTCCCACAGCCTCCTTCCCCCCGGGCCACAGTCCCTCCACCCTAGTCCTGGCTATAGGCTGAGTGTGGCCCGCAGGGCAGGGCAGGGGTCTGTGCCTCTTAGGCAGGGCAGGCTGTGACCTCCCTGGTCAGTGTGATACACAGCCCCTTAGCAGCCATGACCTAGAATGTCAAGGGAGATCTGCTTTCCTGCTCAGGGCAGAGCTGTCCTACTAGAATCTGGTGACACAGAGGACATACTGAACATGAAAAGGGTAAGGAACCCTGTCAGGAACAGACCTGAGCCATATAGGGCCCAGACCAGTAGGGAGGTCCCCTCTGAGCCCAGGTCTTGGGTGCATTTGGAGTGGGGGGTGTCACCTCCCAGGAGGGATCAGGTCCCTAGGCTTAGATAGGGACCACATGCTCCTGGCCATGCCTCCCTAGTGCTTGAAAGTCTAGATCGCAGGAGAGCGCAACTGGCCTGTGGGTCTCCTTCAGCCTTCACACTGTGGGCTTCACCCTTCTACCCCCAAGGGTGCCATGTGTGGTGTGGTGGGGTCAGCAGGCCCTGACAGAGAAGGGGACCCACAGCCTGGGATGGGAGGCACGCTGCCCCCATGGCCGTAGTCCTGCAGGTCCTACCACTGGCATGTGAGCACTTTCCGCCCCTCCTCTCTCCTCGGGGGCCTTGAACCTGGACCCGCCATCCTCTGGACCACAAGCTCACCACTGCCAGCCCAGCATGGACAGGACTCAGCAACTCTGGGCCCAGATGGACATCTGGGTCATTTGGTCAGAGCAACTTGGCGGATGGGACACAACAGCTGCCGCTCATGGGGGTGGGCTGCACCTGGGGACCCCAGCCCTAGGGACAGGCATGGCAATATGGGACTGAGAGCCTGGGGACCCCAGGAGCACCCCCTTCCTCCCAGCTGGCTGCCTACCCCGTATCCCAAATCTCCCTCTCCTGGCACCTTTGGACCTCGCTAATCACCATAATCAGAATCTGGGATTGGGGCTAATGTCGGCAGGGAAATGGAGAGAGTGAGCCGCATGGGAAGAGGCCCAGACCCTCAGGCCAGCTCCGCTGTGTCCTAGGTTCCCACGTTTGGTCTGAGTCTCTGGAGAAGAGGGCGCAGTGTGCACAGAGGCGAGGTGTTGGGACCACATGGTGCCTCACTGCTCAGCATCAAACATATTCTGGGGCCTGGCCTGAGACCACACGAGTGCCGAGCGTATGCAGGGACACTCAGCACTAGTGGTCAGTCCTGCGCCTCCCACAGCTCTGGACTCTGCCCCTGGGGAGAGCAGGGTCCCACCTTCTCCCTGTCCCTTCCCTCCCCACCCAGGTGCCCGCCTGTGGCTCTCTCTGCTCTGCCGGCCCCCCTCTTTCAGAATCAGGCCCATTTAGTTTTACGCCTGGCAGATAATTCCCCCAAAAGCAAGGAGTCTCAGGGCTGAGGTCTCTCAGCCAACAACCCTTTCTGGATCAGCCTCTGAGGTGTCCCACAAAGCTGGGCCCAAGCGTGTCTGCTCAGAGACATGTCATTTACAGGACAGTGCTGCTGCAATGGCTCCAATGGGCCCCAGGCGGGGCCGTGTTTCAGGTCACAGGGGCACGAGGCACAGACCCGCCAAAGCAACTTCTATGTGCCACACAGAACAAGGCAGCCGCCTCCTGATCCCTCCGATTCCTCACTGACATTGAGGCCAGGTGGGCCTTTGGCCACTCAGGAAGTGTCTGTGGATGTCTAGGGAGCACCTGGACTGGGTGTGGGTCCAGACCTCAGGTGGGCAGCTTCCTTCCTCCCCGCCAGGCCCCCGTGTTCGTAACCAAACATTCAAGGGAGCTCCAGGGAGTGAGGCCCATGGTGCCCAAAGTCCATCTCCAGTTTTCATTTGGACCAGTCACCATCCCCTTGCCCTGACTTTACCAGGTCCTTCTGACTCCCTGTCCCTCAGCTCTGCCCACCTGGACGCATTGCCCATCAGAACACACCTGGCCACCTGGACATAGCTCTTCTGCTTCCAGGATGTCAGTGTAGAGGTGGCCTCAGGCCTTGCCCACTGCCTTCCTCCTGCCATGGGCTGGGGCTGGGCTGCCCAGGAAGCTTGCCCGAGATGCTGCTGGCTTCAGTGGCTTTGGATTCAGGATCCCAAGAAGGCAGTGAACAGAGCAGGTGGCCCCGGAGGCTGGACTCCACTAGTAGTCTCCACCCGCGGTCCAGCAGTCCTGGGCTCCCCCTCTCTGGGCAGTAGACAGCAGGTCAGGCCTTCCCATAATCCGTCCTCAGAGGTTCAGGGCTGATGGTAAAGCTGTCACAGAGCACAGCACCCTGAGGGCACAATGAGAGCAGCTCACAGCTTCAGGGTGTCAAACCGAAACTTTCCAGTTTTAAGGAAACCAAGTACTTTTCTTACTTTCAGGATGAGGTGCAAGCTGATGTGAGCACACACACACCCCCAGCAACACCTTCACCTTCAAACAGGCTTCCTCAGCCTAGTGCCCCGCTCTGCTGAGCAGAGGGCTCTGTTCTCAGACTTGACAGCCCCTGCTCTCACACACGGCACTGCTGTGCTGGGGGCTATAGCACTAGAGGCTCATTTTATTGCCTGGCCAGGGCAGCAATCTGCTCGGTAAGCAAAGAGAAGCCTGTCCCCTCCCTTTCTGTACAGGTCTCCAAGGCCCCAGGCGTGGGCAAGCCGAGGACCTGGCTGATGCTCAGGGGGTGGGTGGGCTGAGGCCTTCCTACCTGGGCCCAAATGGCCTGGTGTCTGGCTGGGCAAATGCAGAGAGTATAGACCCAGCACACAGGGCACCTTTGACCCTTGGTTTCCTTTCTGTCTAAGCAGATCTCTGAGGACCTGGGCAGTGAGAAGTTCTGCGTGGATGCTCACCAGGAGGGGGGCGGCAGCTGGCTCAAGTACATCCGAGTGGCATGCTCCTGTGATGACCAGAACCTCGCCATGTGTCAGAGCAGCGAGCAGGTAGGTTTGGCCCACACGCAGGGGGTTCCACCCCTCAGGGTTGTCCTTGTGGACACAGCACCAGGATGGATGGAGGTGCGGAGGTGAGGGGTGGCTGACTTCACCTTCGTGGGGTGGCTGCCTGCTGCTCAGGCAGCTCTGTCTCTCTGGGGAGCTCACCTGTCCTACGAATGCTCCATTGGAGTCTTTGGCCAGCAGCCCCTGCACAGGCTGACGGTATGTGAGAGCCAAGGATGATGGCTTGGGTGAAAGGCAGGCAGCATGGTCAGAATCCCAGCCCACAGGGGCCCATGTTCCCGGCAAATGCCACTACTGACCAGACAAGAGCACACAGAGAGCAGAAGCGGCCAATACAAGAAGCATGTTTCCTTGGCACTGTGTGGCCAGGTTCTCCAAAGGGGTCGATTCTCCAGAGGGGTCAGCGATGGCCAATGCTCAGGTTCCTGGGCCAGGCCAGGCTGAGGTGAGGCCCCACCACCCAGAGCATCCACGAGCTACTGCCACAGCCCCACCAGCCTGCTGCAGACACTGGCCTTTCTCCATCACAAAGTCCAAACTGATACTCTCTGGAGCTGTGTGTTCCTGGCTTGGGGACACTTTTGTCTTATTTCCAGACACCCTGGGGCCCAAGGAACCCCCTTAAGCTCATTGGATTGGACCCTTGAGCTCCGTGGCTTGTCCCCCTCACCTCTGGGCAGATGACCAGACCCACACATGGATCAAGAGAGAAGATGCAGAATTTCTTCTGACTCCAGAAGGCACCATACCCCTGGTGCTGGTCACTGCTTAGTGGATTCCTTTAATTACAAGTTTGCATGCTGCCCCGACATTCTGTGCTCTGGAGCCAAGCCTGCCAGGAGGCAGTTTTCACTGGGGACCTCCCATCAGAGCCGAGTACGTTTGCCTGTGATACCTAGGGGTTACATACAAGATTTCATTTGCAAAAAAAAAAGGGGGGGGGATTTGATTGCCTAGAACACATTTGTAAAGACTACAAGACGGAGGGCACATTCTCAATAGCCTGTGCAAACTATCACAAGTGGTTCAAGGCTCTTGACCTTAGAAGGGTGCAGAGAGAAAACCCCAGGGAGGGCACCTGCTGTGAGGGGCTGCAGGCTGTCTGGCCCACTCACTTGCTCAGTGTCCCTGGCTGAGCGGCTGAGTCCAGACCACGCCATCTCTCTGTTGGACACCAGCTGGTTCCAGATAAGGGGCATGCACGGGCCTCTGCTACCAAGATTTGGATGGCTTACAGTTAGAACAAAAGATTTTGAAAATAACTTTTCCTGATTGCCCAAAAAGAAAGAAAGAAAAGAAAAGAATGATCATAAACCTTAGAATAGAACTTAAAAAAAAATTTCCTCTCTTTCAGACATAAGTAAACTTTGAAGGAAAAAGAATTAGATTTGAGGCATGTAAAAAGATGGTCCTTCCTCCCACTTCCAGAGCTCCGAGGTGCAGGGTGCCTGTGTCCTTATGGCCATCCGTGGGAGCTCCAGGGCTGTGCTTTTGTTAGATACAGACTAGAATAGTGAAGAATCCAGAATTTTTTAATTTAAGAAATGTTTATTAGAACATTTGAACTAAACTTAAGCAGTAAAGTAGGTATCTTTATGTGTCTAGCTTTAAAAAAAAAACAAACAAACAGATGTTCAGTCTTCTCAAAAAGTTGCCTGTCTTTTAAAACCTTCATTTCATTATTTTAATATGAAATAATTCATATTGAATATTTCATTATTCAATATTTCAGGGAAGCTCTTCTTGCAGCTACACAAGCTCCGAACGGAAAGCACTTCCTTGCCACAGACTATTTTTCCTTTGTCAGGACCTGGGGACAGGATAATAATCTTTAACTTTTATTGTGTCCCTTGAATTTAACCCCCCATGGCTCATTCTGAAGCTTCATCCAGGAGTCCAGAACGTACTTGGTTCTGTTACCAACCCTGGGACATCTCCTCACCTGTTAGGCATTTCTCTCTGACATGGCCTCACGGGGTTAATTCTCCTTGTTCTGGGCCTGTCAGCTGAATTCAAGCCATAAACCCAGAGGGAATTTGGATACCCGTTTACACAAACTAACACCAAACTGGCCCAGGCCAGAGAGGAATTCCTCTACTTGGAAGTGCATTTCCAACCCACTTGGCCCACGTGCTGAGACCCTTCCCCTCTGCCCCCCTCATGCCATAGTGGGTGACAAGAGGTGTTAGAGGCAACCGACATTCCTGCCAATGTCCCACCAAGGGTACACCCCTGAACTTGATAATCCAAATGCCCAGGAAAGCAGGGGCCGACCAGAGGTGGGCAGGGGACTGGCCGCTCAGGCACAGGGAGGGCAGCTGCAGAGAATCCACCAGCCATTTGGCATCTAGTCCTAAAACCTCAAGTTTGAACTGCAGTTATCAAATGAAAACAAATGGTTTGTGAGATGTATTTTCCTCTGAATGATAAGATTTAACTTCTACTAATAATTTGGAAAAACTTTACTCCATAGACTCGTAATAAATACCTGTTGGTGGAATGAAATGACTTTTAGAAATACTTTTTTGAGGGGCATGCAACAGACTTCAAACTATTTTTAAACGCTCTCTCTCTCGGTGGGATAGCCACACAGGCCACCCTAAACAGACCGTGGAAACGCGGGTTCTGGCAAAGCAACCTGTTTTGACCCCCTAAAGTTAAAATTTCCCTGAAATATTAATAATAAAACAAAGGTTTTTGAAGACAGGCTTCTCTTTTAGAAGGAAACATTACATGATGTTCATGTGTTTTCCCAGATTTCCATCATTCCAAGCAGGATTTCCTGAGTCTTATGAACACACACACTCACACATACACACACACAGAGAAGCGAATCGTCCCTCCTTGTCACCTGCATGCACGCACACACCCCACCTCCAAGGTGGCACAGACGTTGAAGGCGAGGAAACCGTAGCTGAGACTTGGTAAAACAGTGGCAAATTTGCCAAAGTCAGCAGGGAAAATGAGTCAGAAAAGCATGAGTATCATTTGCCTGTTCAAGACACGGGACAGCTCCAATTTTCAGACAAGAGAAGAGACTGGGGCAGAAGAGGGTCTCAGCATCTGACGAGAAAGTTCTGGAAGCCACAGCCATACAGAGGAGATGACCCTCCTACTAGGCAGAAGAAGGAGGCAGCTCTGAACTGAGCTCAGGCCGGTGTGTGGACTGGGGGCTCCAGCTGGGGTTTTCCGCCTATATCTTCCACTGGTGGTGGTCAGGACTCGTGGGAACTCGGAAGCTCGGCCTCCCGGGTGGCCCTGGGTCTTTGGAGGACATTGAAGTTCAGGGGTGTCCTGTACCCCTCAGCCCCTCGCAGGCCCTGCTGGCCTTTGTGCCTTCGGAGTGTTGTGCATTAGACAGGTTCTGGGTGCAGGTGCCACCCTCATCCCTCAAGTGTGGTTCCAAGCAGTGAAGGGCTCTCCATCTCCTGCCTTAGGGCACCATCTGGCCAGGGCTCATTCTCTGGACCCCCAGACGCCCCTGCCCAGCCTCATGCCACGCCTGAGATGCCGCCTCCATGCCCAGCTTACGTGCTCCCAGTGACATGAGAAAAAGTGAGCCCTGGGCTTGATTTCCCCCGAGGGAACCAGCTGGCACCTCTTGGAGCTGCCCTTGGGACACTGGGTGGCTAGGAGAGGGTCTCTCTCTGGCCCGGCCCATGGGGACTGAGTCTTCTTCTCACAGACTTGTGCTATCCATCCCATGGCCATGGGGCTGCGGAGATGTGCTCACTGGCCACCTACTCATCCTCATCTAGGTGACAAGATTCTTCTCCCTCTGAGAGGCTGTAGCCCCAGGTTCCTCATGAGAAGTGACCGGCTCCATAATCAAGGCCAGCGGTTCTCACCCTGTAGGTCATGACCCTCCGGAACTGTATTAAAGGGCTGTGGCATTAGGAAGGTTGAGAACCATTGGTCTAGGCCATTGGTCCTCAGAGTCTCACCTCTGTCTTCCTCCTGGTAGCTTTAGACCTGGGAGTCCAGCAGCAGCTGAGGCCACTTAGGGCCATGAGCTACCCCTAGGCCTGGCCCTGTGGCCTAAACAGTGACTGGTGTTTTTTCTGTATACACAGAGGCCACAGACCACGGCCAAGGGCATGCCAGGCTTTGGGGTGGCCAGGCTGGCAGGAATTGAACCTCCACAGTTTCCTCCGGGGATGCTAGGGGTTCCCACTGCAGCCCTGGGGCCTCGTTTGACAGCCAAGCTTGTCCAAATCATCCCTGGGGTGTTTTCACGGACTCTTTTACCTTTGCTCAGCCAGAAGCCACGGCAGCACCCACAGGTGTCTGAATCCACAGGGGTGGGGGCTGCATGGCCCCATCCCGCCCTCCACATACCCTGCAACTCCTCCCATCCATTTGGGAAAACCCAGGACATTCAGATCACCGCTGGTTGGTTCTTTGTCCTGCAATTGCGAGAGAACGAGAGAACTGAGTTGGTCTGAAATGTTTCAGGAGGCACAGGCAGGGCCTGCTCCTGAATTTGTTTGAATGTTGAGAAAGAAAACAAGGACTTGGGAGAGAAGTGCCCACGGGAAGCGGGAGGCGGGAGAGGCCTATTCACAGCCCTGGCTTCTTTTTTCTTTTTCTCACGTTGCCTCAATAGGGCAAGAATGTTGGTGGCGGGATGTCAACTGGCTGTCGGGGCTGAGGACGGTGGGAGGTGGGGCTGAGGTCACAGGCTATGGGGGAGCACAACTCGGGGGCTTCAGCCCCCGCCCCAGCGCCCTTCAGAAATGCTCTTTGGCCACGGGCAGCACTCCTAGTCCAGAAAAGCAGCCCCAAGTGTCCTGCCTGTGAAGTGAGGGCGGGAGGACATCAGGGAAGCCCCTGGATCCCAGCACACTCCCCGGGCAGAGCGGGGGCTAGGGGCAGAGAGCACGAGGGGCTGAGCCGCCCTGACTGCAGCCGGGGAGCCCCCTCCTCGGAGGAGGGCATTTTATAAGAAGATTAGCGACTGATAGCCGCCAGCCGCACTGGGCTGAGACAGCGCTTGCTTGTAATGAAAACCTGGTGCTTCCCGGCCGGCGGGGCGCAACCTGCTGGCCAAGGGCGTCCCTCTTTTGCTTTCGTTTCCTCAGCTCCGGCCTGAGTCCCACATCTCTGAGCCAGGGATGTGACCTACCAGGAGGTGTGGACTCTAAACAGAGGCTTCTATCATCATCCACCATCCTGATCTGCCCTCCACCTGACATTTCCTTATTCCCTTTGCTCTTATCTCCCACAATTTTTTTTAAATTAAAAAATCATAAATTTTTTTTATTCGGTCAGTTGAAATGGTAGCCTCGGACAATTAGATATAATTTTCCCTTTGACAACGGGAAGGGTGAGGGCGAGGGATCCATTTTAGCAGTTCTTAATCTGTTTACAAAGGACTCCCGAAATACATCCAATTTGTTCTGATTCGGAAAACCGTCCCCCGATCCTCTTTTGGCGAGAAACCAAGTTTAAATTCAACTGCATCATCCCAACACCTACCCTAATCATTTGTCAGCTTCTGCTTTCTTTTCCTTCCAATCAAATGCAACGCTTCTTAGAAGAAGCCCTTTAAGAACAAGGAAGATAATGTAACTGTGGACTGATAATTTATATTTTTATAATCCAGATCCAAATTGTACGGGTAAGAAAGAGGCACGTGTATAGAGTTTTGTTTTGTTTTGTTTTGTTTTAACCTTTTTTGCTGCTGAAAGGGTGACAGTAGACAGTAACAAAATAATAAAGATTTAGGCACAAATACAATTGCTTCAGCGATGTAAACCCCGGACTCCCTCCGCCTCCGGGGTGCCTTTTCCTCTCTCCCGGAGAGGAAGGGATTGTCTGCATGTCTCTGGAGCCCACCTGGGGTGCCGAGCCCAGAATCTCTGTGTCCTCCCTGACTCAGAGCAGAGAACAGCAGGCGCCCCAAACAGACCAGCGGCCAGGCAGGCACAGGGCATCCACGGCCCTTTCCTAGAGGAAGATGACTGGGATAGCAAGAAGTTGAGCAGCTCCGCGATACTCCCAAAGTCCTTGAGGCCACAAGGCAGCAATGAGACGTAGCAGCTGCTTCTTTGGAGGTCCCGGAGAAACAAACAAACAAACAAAAAAGCCCAGGCATCCTTCAGCCCCACATCCTCTCCCAGAAGGACAGGTGAAGGGCAGACGGGGTCACTGGGTGAATTTGCTTTTCAGAAACAATTTTAAAGGAATCCAGATTCCACTCACTGCCCGCAAGTCTTTTGTGAGGAGAGCCTGTGCGCGCCAGAGGCTTCACAAACTGAAGCACAATTGAATTCGCAAGTCCAGGATAGCAAGAGGGTGAATTTCTTTTTATGATAAAAGGAGATTTCATCTCTTTTATTCAAAGTTCCTTTAAAGGTTTCTTATACAAAAAAAAAAAAAAGTTTCTTATACTAGTCAAAGAAAAAGTAGCCCGGAAGTTCAGTGAATTGAAAAAGAATTATTTATTTCGGGGAGGAGAGAGCAGTGCCCACCGCTCGCATTCAATCTCCTGACTTCCAGTCTGCACTCTGGTAATTTCCCCCTGGTGTAATTTGGATGGATTTTTTTTTTAACTACTTAAATTTAAAAATGTTAAGATTAAGTGAGAATGAGAATGATGGGATTTCAGTCTTCCTATTCAAATTTAATCTCTTTGCTTTGAATTAATTTGATATTAAAAAAATACTTAAGAAATAGTAAAGGGTAAGTATCCAAAAGCTGACAAGCATTTAAACCGGAAATATTTCTTTGTCTTAGAGAACATTGCAGGGGGAAATGATATTAATTTTCGTGAAAGGCTTGGTCTAAATGAACACGGCCTGCGCTGAACGCCAAGTTTTCTCTGCAATTTCTCTGCCTTTTGTTGAGAGCGTGGCCATTTACTCCTCCCAGAGCTCTGTTTACCTACAAGGAGCCGCCTCTTTGTGTCTGGAAGGCGATAAGAGGAGAAGAAAACAGGCAGGGTCAGGCTGAACACAGCTCCCATGGAGGACCTGTTGGTGGTGGTGCTCCCCGAGCTCAATAAACTCATTGTCGTCACAAAGGGAACCTCCAGGGTTGAGGCCGGACTTAACTTCACATCCAGGCTGTTTGGAATCGTTATTTTTTAAAGCCCTTCGGAACAGACATTTATTAGCTCTAGTAAACTTGGCTGTTGTTAAGAGGGTTCCCCACCCTCACATCCTTCAACCAGAGGGGAAATCCCGGCCTTGCCCCTGCAACACTGCCGGGAACTCGGGACTGAAATGCTCCCGCCGAAGCCCACGGTTCAGGGAACGAGCCTTCGTTCGTGCCGTCACTTAACTACGTGGCTTTTTTTTCTCTCCTGCACTCACCCTCCCCTAAGGCGCCATCGGGATGGGGGACCAGAGGGTGTGGGGACTGCAGGGTTGCCTTCCTCCGGACAGAGCTGCCCTCCCCCCTTGTGAAGGTGCTGGCCTCAGTCTGCCCCAGCCACCTCCACGCAGCTGAGCAGAGCGCCTGCAGGTAGCGCGGGTTGCAGGAGCGTCCTGGGGCTGCCGGGAGGGCGCGCGGGAGCCCAGTGCGGAGGGGCCGCGGAGCGGTAACCCGCAACCTGCGACCCTTCCCGGAGGCCCCGGTGGCCCAGCTTCCACCCAACCGGCCTTTGTCCCAGGAAGTCGCCCGACCCCGCGGACCGGCAATCGCGGCCGTCTGATAAGACCTTTTGCGCCTTGGGACAGGTTGTAAAAGCGCCGAGCAGCTCTGTCTGCGCCCCCGCACCCTCGGCCTTGGGGGTGGGGGGCAGCGATTCCTGTTCACCTGGGTCCCCAACCAGGTGGAGGCGGGTCAGGGCCAACTCTCCCGCCCCGCCCCCAGCTAGGGGATTAGCGCTAATAGCAATTAATTCCCCCTGCAGCTCAAAGTCCCAGCAGCTACCTGCAGCCACTGCCCTGTGTCTTCGGTGCGCCGGCCAGGCACCCTCCTCCTGGAGGAGGGGGGTCCCTGACTGGGGAGGGGTGACCGCTGGACCCGCCACCCGGTGGTGCTCCGGATCCAATACACGTGGTGGGGAGGTTTTCCGGGGCAGTGGCCTCATTGAGGGGAAGAGATGGGTCCCCAGAGCACCCAGAGATCTTGAAGAGGGTTGAAGGAGGAAGGCACAGAAGCGGGGAGGCGGGAGTGTGCGGCCCTGGGGGTGCAGATGGCCCTCAGCGGACGGTTCCTGAAGACTGGGAGCCTTTAGGAGTGGGTGGGGGACCCAGGAGGTCCAACTGCCCTGGAAGAGGTAGGGGAAGGGAGCGGGCAGCCTCAGCAGCTTTTGTGGAGGGGGACGGGGGGAGCATGGAGGTGGCTGAGCTGCCCCTCCCTACCTCCTGTCCCCCTGCCCCCAGAATGAACTGGGCAGCAGGGTGGAGGATGAACAGCCAGCCAGGTTGAGGTCAGAGCAGGACGTCTGAGGCCCTGCAGTTGGGGTGCACCTGGGCCCACAGTGCCCCCTCATGGGGATCTTCGAAGAGCAGCACAGATGAGCCTCCTCTCCCCTTCTCTCCCACCCTGGAGGGCAGGCCAGGCCCTGCCACCTGCCCCAGGCTGGACACACAATAAGCATGCACTCACTGCAGGTACCCACTCTCCTGCTGCCCCAGGACAGGGAGGTCATTTCTGGTTCATTGGTAACTCAGAGGGTCACCAGGCTGTGTCCAGCATAAGTGCTTCTCCCCATCTGGCACTTCGGGTCTGGTTTTAAAATCCAGTGGCTCACATCTGATTTTTTTTTTTTTTTAAGAAACAGTTATTCAGCCACTGTGTGAGTTTTTAGATAAGATGCTATGCACTGGGGTCTGATAACAGCTGCTTGAATCAGAGACATTAGCACAGTCCTGTTTCTACCCTCAATTTTTAAATCTCATTAGTTTAGCAATTTACCTGAGAAAAATTGCTGCATAAAACCACCACTGACTATGTTGCATGGGAGCCATACCGGCTGCAGGGTACGCAGTGCCTGTGTCTATGTGTTTCCACCCGGGCAGCCACTATCCAGGCATCCTCGGAATAGTAGGCAGTGGGTGTTGGGGGCACGGTGAGGCTTCCCTGTGCCCTTGTGGGAGCTCCTTGGTGTCATCCTGGAGTTAGTGGGAACTGGTAGATTCTAATGGAGCCCACAGGCAGAGGGTAGGGGGGCAGCACGCTGAGCTCCATCTCCCCAATGTGTGATCATGTCCAAACCCCAGCCAAGGCTGACTCAGGCTGCACTGTGGGGATGGGAGTGTTGCCCACAGCAGAGATAGTCATTTCCCCACAGTCCCTGGGAACCCCTCTGAGTCTGGACCAGCCCTCTTTCCTGGAGAACCTGAGCTCCAGATAAGCTCCTCTTGGACCTCTGGACAGGCCTGTGGGTTTCTAGAAGCTCTGTGGTCACCGTTAGAAGAATATAGTCTCAAACTTTGTTGTGTCGGGGTATGCAGGGGATTGCCCTGAGGAAAATGTGCCCACCACCCAGGGTCACCAGGCTCAAGGTGCCCATTCCCGGGGCTCCCCTTTCTGAGCAGTCCAGGTAGCCTGGCCTCCCCTTCCTGAATGGCCAGTTCTCTTCATCTTGACCACCATGTCAACACCCCCAGGTGACTTGTTGTGTCCCTGGCTGAAATTGCCCTGGGACACTCCCTAATTGGGAACTTTAATGGTTCCCCTCTTTAATTTTGTATCCCCTTTATCAAATCCCAAAACTGGATACAATAAATTTTTAAAAGAGACTCAACTCTTTTTGAGTATATTTTGCAACAGTCCCGGAGGGACCCTCTTAGCGGCAGTGAGAAGACGAGCCAGTGACAGGGCAGGCCAGCCGCCCCTCCTGCAGCCCCCCCACTGTGGGCTGAGTGTGCACAGAGAGGTTGCTGGACACCAACACACAGCAGACTCACCTTTCTCTCTGGTTTCCCCCCAGATTTACTACAAAGTCATTAAGGACATCGAGCCCGGTGAGGAACTGCTGGTGCACTTGAAGGAGGGCGTCTACCCCCTGGGTACAGCGCCGCCCAGTCTGGACGGTAAGGCCCCTCCCGGGCTGTAGCTCTTGGAGCCCCTCCTGGAGGAGGGGCAGACACATGGGAGGACACAGCGGCCTCATCACCTTATGCCACAGGATGAGGCCCAGGCAGCCCCCGCCCTCTGGACACCTTCCCAACCTGCAGGCTCCTCCCTCCTTGTTGGGGTGTAGCAGGTAAACCCTAAATTAGGAAGTGCTGCATGTCGCCCTGGATCTTTGCAGTGGGAGCATCCAGGTGATTTTCTCAAACTATCTCATCGTTAGACAAACCCACAGGCAGAAGACATCAAACCAGTTTTATAGCATGGAAGCATTTTCAGTCAGACTGAAGAGGAAGGTGGCGTGTGCCCCTGGAGACCCAGGGCCAGGAGAGATGTCAAGGGAGGGAAAACTCATGGTGCTGTGTGGCTCAGTGGTGGGGATAGTCACAAGTTCCCCCGAGCAGGGCTGCAGAGAGCCCAGGAGTAACCTGTCCCCTTGGCTTCTCTCCCGGCATCTGTCAGCTAGGGGTGTGGCAAGCAGGAGTTACTTTCTGGTTCATCCACACTCAAGTACAGCTGCAAGGGTGTGGAAAACATTCTAGTCTCCGTGGGGCCTGGATCAGTTGACTAGGAGCAGGCACTGTAGGCAGTGCAGACGGCTCCAGGGTTCACATCTATCTTCTCTTCTCTGGATGAGACCTCATGTGAACAGAATAGCAGCCTCCCCTTAAGGCCATGCCCAAGCCGGTGGTTCCTACTTGCGCTGGAGACAGCAGGGTGGGGAGCTGTCCTGGCTGTCCTGGCTGTCTCTCCGTACTCTCCAAACACACCAGTGCCTCTGATATCACTCACCGCACCTTCCCCAAGGGAAATCTGCTCTGGTTTCACGGTGAAGAAGTGGCATTGCCTTGGCCAGGAAGCTGGCCCTGGAATTAGCAGGCGGGCTCTGAGACAAGTTGCAGAGAACGCTGCCTTAATTTACCCTTTTGGCTGCCGGGCCTAGGCACCCTGGGTCATCCAGAAGGAAACCGGCATGGAAGGACAGTTTTATGAGCCGAGTTCTATCTGTACTCCCCTCTAAAGTTTGGTTTTAATTAGGCTGTTCAGAAAAGAAAAATAAATCGCTGAGCTCTGGGTAGCAGGGAGGCAAGGACTCATTTTCCTTAAAATAATTGTTGAAAAGACCTGTGAGTCTTGGGCGGCACAGGAGAGCGCCTTGCCACAGTACTCTGACCATGGAATTTCATTCCTAAAATGAAATGTATTTCTTCCAAAAGGGTTTTTTAAAAAAACCTCCGTTCCTGCTCTCCACCCCCCTCCGACCTCTGATATTAAATAACCTAAGTCTGCATTTTCCTAATAATTTATCAGACGTTTGTGGGCTAATTGCTTTCTACACATAATAGTCCAACATCAAATATTTGACTTTTTCTGCTCTTTCTTGTCAAGATCATGCCTCTATGGCAGCCCCCGCCCCCCCCCCAGTTAAACTCTGAATCGCGCAGAAAGAAAATGCAAAAATGTTCCTCACTAAGATAATTATCATAAAAATCTTTTATCCAGGCCCTAGCTAAGTGGAGCGGCCCCTTATCACTGCAGGAATTTGGAGCAGGCTCTGGGGCTCTTTTGAGCCTCCGGTCTGGTCGATTAGCATGTAGATGCCACATAATTGTGAACCCCTCCGCTCTGAGGCCATTAGGCACGGATTTATTTTTCTGTTACATTCCTGTTCTGCCGTGAGAGTTGCTGATAGAACTTGAGACAGACAAGCGAGGCGCAGATGTGACAAGCAAGATGTCAGACTGCCACGGCCTGGCTCGACTTGGTAGTAGGGAGAAGGTAGCGGGGGGAGCCCCGGCTCATGCCCCCAACCCGATTCGGGTGCACACAGGTTCACTTCCAAGCATTTATTTTTGTGCTTTGCTGGAGACTGCCATCCGGCATTGAGGAAGACCCAGAGAGATGGGTTCACCCGCCCGCTGGGACGCGGGTGGCAGGGCACAGAGCCTCTGCCCCTGCAGTCCTGGGGCCGGAAACCCTTCTTCAGAGCTACAGCTTTGTAAAGAAATGCAGCACCGACTCCCCCCACCCACCCCCCACGTGATCCAGACCAGAGGGAAGCCACTTTCAGATCCATTCGGTCTGGCGACTTGTTATTTTGTTTTTACACGCACAATGGAGGGGGGAAAGAGTTCTCTTTCGTGAGAACTTCTCCCTCTTGGGAGAAAATAAAAGAAAATCATTTCCATTCAAATATGCTTTTCTTTTTAGGAAGGTTCATAATAATGTGCTTTCCCCCTCTCCCAAGAAGGTCAAGAGGACGCAACGTATTCTGTACAGAGCACGAAAGGCAGAGAGATAATAAGCTGGGGTGTAATACGATGTCGGAACAGAACACGCTCTCTTAGTATTTCTTTAAAACAGAAATTTCCTGTGCTGGGAAATGAAAATGCCTTGGGCTGTGCCCGCTTTGCCCCCACCCCCATCTGTGGGCCCAGGAGTGTGTTCAGGGCCAGCCTCACCTGCCTGGGAGGCACCAGGAGGCTTGTCCACACCGCTCTGCACGGTCAGCGAGGCTCAGACGTGTCCTGTCCTTTGATGGGGGCAAGCTTGTCTGTCGAATGATGGGGGCAGAGGCAGAGGCCAGATTTGTCACCGCAGTCAGGTCCACCAGCTTCTCAACACCCTCAAATGCCTGGAGTGAGAGCTAGATGGATTCACGTTTGAAATCCAACAATTTTCATTTTAAATCTAAATTCTAAATGAGCACTGGGAAAACGAGTTGGTGAGCTGGCACTTCTTCTTGCCTTTGTTTGCAAATTTCAGCTTCCCTGATTGTTCTTTGCTGGGTCCAGAAAGAGTGCAATGAGAACTGGGATCTCTGATTTAACCACAGGGCTGGTGGGAGGCCTGGTCTCAGCCTCCTCCCAGCCCAGGAAGTTGGCATAAACCCACAAGTGGCCTAAGGGGTCTGCGGTGGGTGGGCTCAGTCCTGAGACGTGTTCTCAGCACTGCCACATGGGACTCGATCCCTGGGGAGAATCTGAATTTCTAAAGACAAGGAGCCCTGCAGGCTGCAGCAGGCTGCCTGGCCAACCTCTCGGGGAGACTGAGCTCTGCCTGCCCTTCCTGGTGGGGACTCCCATCTCACTGTTCCGCTTCTTATGCAAACTCTTCAGTTTCTCCCTGCCTCGGTTTACCCATTCTCAGGCTGCACTCACACACCATGTGCCTCCCTGGGGGCCCCTGGGTTGACAGGAGACTTGCACGTACAGATCCCACTGAGCTCTCAGGATAGGGCCTGCCACGGGGCACTCCCAATAGCAGATGCAAGCGTCACTGTGCCCACATTGTCACGGTAGACTCTTGTCCTGAAAAGCGTTTGCACCTCACCTTGTATTTCAAAAGCAGTGTTTGGTGGATGTGTAGGATGTTTCTTTATTGCCCACCTCCTCCCCTGCCATGTGTCAAGTCTGAGATTTCTCCCCAGAAGACTTTGGTTCTCTCCGCAGGCATCCGGGAAGCTCCTCCTAGCGGCCTTCCCTGGAAATGTCTGGGATAGGGGTTGTTGGAGGCCAGGGCCAAGGTGCGGAGTCCACAGGTTCTGGGAGTCCTGCAGCTTTTTTCCCTTTGGGATCTTGTCTTCCCTTTCCTGAGGCTCAGGTTGGGGAGCAGGGTGAGGGCGCCCAGGCTCAGGCTGGAATTAGAGGTAGTGTGGGGGCTTCTTCACCAGCAATGGTGCCTGCCCCGTTGGCCCCAAACACAGGGGCCTTAGGCCTCCTCTGCACCTGGCACCCTTCCAGACACATACTGCTGTCCAAAGACAGGGCTGAAAGTCACATCTCACAAACCGGTGCCTGGGTATCCAAGTGGTGTCATCCCGTGTGCCTGGCCACAGTGTCCCATGGGGGTCTCCACCTTGGGCATCTGTGACTCAGGCTGGGGGCCTCTGAGCACCCACCACCAGGCATGTGACCTAGGCCAGTATGGAGAAGAGCTCTTAGGCTCAGGGCAGCTGCCCCTGGACTGCCCTGACTCTGAAATGTCCCATAGCTTTGGTGGTCTCTCTGACATGTGAAGGGGCAGCAGGTGGAACCCCCTTTCCATCTGCCCCCCGCCCCCTACCTCCTAGCCTCTATACCCTAAAAGGCATTCAGCCCTTTGCAGCCAATGTTCAGGCCAAGCTAATCAAAGCTCAGCTTTGGTCTGGGCACCGGGCCAGTCCCAGTACATGTGCACACCCAGACACACTCCCACTGTGCACAAAGGCCTGGGAACACACAGACACACAAGCACTCACAGGCACAATCCCGTAGCATGTGCACACTCACACACAAACATTCATACATTTTCACACATGCACAACTGCATACACACTGGCACATATAAACACACACGCACAGCGTGTGCATTCACACATGCTCTCACAAGCACAGATGTGTACACGCGTACATAAACATGCACCTGCTTGCACACAGAGACACACCCACAGTCACTGTGCAAAATACACACAAATGTGAACACGCAAATGTGCATATAACCAATCACACAGACCACACATGTGTCAGGTATGAAAATATGTGGATGCACACAGATACTTACACATGTGGGCTCATGCATTCACACGAGTGCATTGCACACTCACGAATGCAGTTGTGAAATGCACAGACGAAGTTGCATATGCTGGAACATTCACACTCACACACATACGTTTGCCTGTGCACGCACAGCTGCACACACATGTGCAAAATGGCACGCGCATTTACACACTGGTGCACGTGCCCACATGCACCCACAGGTGCCCACTCAGGCCCACATGTGCCCATAAGCACACAATACATGTTCACCTCATTTGGGCAAGAGCTTAGTACAGCTGCTATCTTGACAGACCGGGGTGGGACAGAGGGTCTGGGGTGCTCGCCCTAGCTGGGAAGCTGCTGTCAGTGATGGCAGAGCCCCCCCAGACGGCAGCTCCAGGCTGACTGCTGGCTTGGCACCGTGGTCAGGATGCTGCCTCGTAAACTTCATAATATCTGCCCTCTTTTAATTTGTTTGACCTTGATGACAATAATTTATTGTGCACATTGGAGCTCTGCCGTCTTTCTTCTCCTAATTCATAAACAAAGCACTTAGCCTGGCTTCCTTCTACACTCCCAAGCGTGGGGCCGCCTCTGGCCCACTGCGGCCGGCTGAAACAAAGGCAGGGCCCAGTGTCCTAGCTCAATGTCCCCAAGAGGCACAAATCAGGGTCCCTGGGCTGCTCAGGGTGAGGCTGGAAGGGAGCAGAGAGGGAACAGCTGGCACAGGGGGCAGCCCTGCGCCTCTGGCTCACCCACCGCCTCCTCATCCTCTCTCTTGCAGAGGAGCCTACGTTCCGCTGTGACGAGTGTGATGAGCTCTTCCAGTCCAAGCTGGACCTGCGGCGCCACAAGAAGTATGCATGCGGCTCGGTGGGTGCCGCGCTCTACGAGGGCCTGGCGGAGGAGCTGAAGCCTGGGGGCCTGGGCAGCGGGGCTGGTGGCCTGTCCCACGAGTGCAAAGACTGCGAACGGATGTTCCCCAACAAGTACAGGTGCCGCCCGCCCCGCCGGGTCCCCGGCCCCATCACGGGCAGGGCTCCAGAGACAGGTGGAGGTGCACCTAGGGCATGTGCTGGGCCCACCCAGCAGTGTCCCCTGGCTGAGATGCTGCTAGCCCCACCGGTCCTGCAGAGTCAGGACTGCATTGCAGAGACAAGCAGGAAGCAGTGAAAGCTCAGGCCTAGCCCTGAGTGTGTAGCCGTCAGCCCAGGGCTGGTTCTAGAATAAGATCCCAGACCAGGATGGGGTTGGAAGTGCCCAGCCCTGAGGGGTTCCTGGATGCCCCACTTTCTGGACATACAGCCCTTCTCAAATAGTGGGCAGGGGCAGGAAGGGGTCATCCAGGAGGGATGTCATACACGGGAGCAGCTTACATGGGCCATCCCTTCCCCGAGGCCAGGCAGGAATGTGAACCTGGGCCTTGCAGGGCTTGGGGACCTGTGGGGCTCCCTGGGAAAGATGGGCTCCTGGGCTCTAGCGGGTAGAGCCAGGACTCCCAAGCCATGGAAACTTTTCCTCCTCCCACCTTTGAGAATTCTTCCAGGACAGCCTTGCAAAATCAGAGAAAAACCCCATCAGGCCCCTAACAGGCTGTGTGACTGCTGAGGGCTTAGGCTGTCCCTTCCCGGCCCCCCGGGGACAGCAAACCCTCCACCCCACACAGATGACTGAGAAAATAAGTGTTCGGGCAAATCCCGACAGAGGCCCTTCGCGGTAAGCACCACTCAAGAGGGTCCGTGTTTTCTCTACATAAACACATAAATCACAATTAACAACAGGGAAAAAGATACAATCTCCTGATGCTTGAGAACCAGGCGTTTCTGATCTAAATGGATGGCTGGGCCCGTAATTAACGGGCCGTGATGTATTACTGCTTTGCTCATGGAGATTAACGGTCATCCCCAGGACGGGAGGAGAAGCGGGGTGTCCCCCGAGAGGAGGGGGTTAGAAGCTGCTCGCTCATCCGAGTGGAGCGGCCCCGAACAGCTGTGCCCCACACTTTCCTGCATCTCATTTGGGGACCCCCTGGTGAACCCCGGCTGCTCGCCCGCCCCTCCCTGTGCTTGGTTTCCCAGGGCTCGCCTCCACTCTGGGGTTTGTGACAGCGTTGAAGTCTCTGCACCCCATTTTTCTTGGGCCCAAGCTTAGCCTTAGCTCAGGAGCAAGCTGAGGGACAGGCAGGGGCTGGGGGCTGCAGGATCCAACCTTGTCCTGGTAGATGCCCCAGAGTTAGATCATTTTAGCAGGAAGGAAAGACTTCTTCATGTGACATGGGAAGGCCATCTCTGCCCCCCATACTCACTGGCCGGTCAGGGAGGAGGGAGCCAGAAGAGGTGTGCCCACGCCCTGACCCTCCTGCCGTGCGGTGGGGGTTCCAAGGGTCTGCTGAGATCTAGCGGCACCGGGCAGATGGGGCCCCGGGTGACCATCCCCTGTGTGCACAGCTTGGAGCAGCACATGATCGTCCACACGGAGGAGCGCGAATACAAGTGTGACCAGTGTCCCAAGGCCTTCAACTGGAAGTCCAACCTCATCCGCCACCAGATGTCCCATGACAGCGGCAAGCGCTTCGAGTGTGAAAACTGCGTCAAGGTAATGAGCAGGGGCACACCCACCACTCCACCCACGCCCTCCCCTAGCAGGGCCACAGACAGGGGCAGGGCTCACCCTCCCCACAACCCACCACTCCACCCACGCCCTCCCC